TTTAAAAAATATAAGATCTAAGAATTTTTCTTTTTTAAAGATTTTATTGGGGAATTGGGAGAGGGGAATAGCGTTGGGGAATCGGGGAAGGGGAACAGACAAGTTGCTGTCCTTTTGTTCTTCAGTTTAGTTGTGGAGGACATTGCTTCACTGGCCCATGTTGGTATTATCATTATGCTCTTCCCGGGTGAGGCAGTCGCTCGCCGGCCATTGGACGGCTGCTCACGGCCGCTCACGCTGGCTGCCAGCCCCTCATGGAGCTCATGGCAGCCCACTGCAGCAGGGGCTGCAGCCTATGTTGTCGTGGTGACTCACCGCAGCCCAGCTCCAGGTCGAGCTGTTGTTCACCATCTTAGCTGTAGAGGGCGCAGTGTCACTGGCCCTCATGTGGGATCTGAATTAGGGCCCTGTTGCTCGGAGCTGGTGTCCCAAGCCAACTCTTAACCAACACGCCACTCTGCCGGCCCAGGAATTTTTCTTAATACTCTATTTTTTTGCCAATCTAATTATCTCTCTGTAAATAAAAATTAATTGCATAATAGTGTTTTCAGAAAAGTGGCTTTAATGTTGCTTGGTTAGCAAGAAACAGGTTTTTTTTATAACTCAACTAACAAAATCTATTTGAATTAAAATTAGAAACTATACTAAGTATGAAGGCAAAACATGTTTTTGTAAATATTTAGGGAAAAAAAAACCTATGTTTGGTCTTGACCCCACATTAGCTTTGGTGCTAATATTATTGAATTTATTATAACATTGAACATGTTTTTATAGTTCACCAAAGTTTATTAAAAGGTGCTAAGAATAATTACTATTTGGCTATCTCATAAGAAGTGGGTTATTGAAACATTTTTCCAACAAATTTGACCAATGTAGATAGCTGCTTAGATAAAAAGGTTAACAAAAATACTACCATTCTCTCTATAATAATTGTAGTCATTTTGGATTTAATTATATAGTTTCTTCTATTTCTTCATATGTAGATATAAATTTTAGTTTATAACTACTATTGCAATTAGCAGTGGAAATACTATTTGTATCTTGTGGAGCATGTTTGCGTGATATAATAAGGTCTTTTGAATTTTGGTGATAGACTGGGTTTTGCATTATTTACACATTTCTCTAAATGATGACATAAATTCCAAAATAAGTCCCTTTTCAACTAGTAACATTTTCAAGATATATATATTTTAAATTTATAAGATTTATATTTAAAAAGAGGCAAAAAGGCAAATCAGTAATACCTGGTTTCTACAGTGGATTATGCCATACTACTAGAGTTAACCTGATGTCAGTCTAAGTTGTAAAGATAGTTTTTTTGGACTGGTAGAGCTTAGTGATCTGAGGGAATTAGGGAGTGGTATTGTTAGAGCTTTGAAAGCTGCATACTGACGAATGTCTGTGACAGAGCCAAAAGTCACCAACATCCTATTTGTATTTCAGTTCCAATATTAGTAAGTTTAAATGTGTTTTGAGTTTTGACAAATGGTTTTAAAATTTTGAAAGTCATGCATTTTATAGTAAGAAACTAGTCAAAGGCAATGTTTTTATATATAGTGTGTATGACGAAGACTTTTGTTCTTATATAAGCTTGCCTAATTATTTGTCCTACCCTGGAGAAGTGTAAAAAACCCTTAATTTATGAATTTTACTTTTTATATAATTATTAAAACCCTGTTATCATCATTATATGCTAAGCACAGCTCATATATTAATCTATTCATATAAAAATATAAAATTCCTGGGCCGGCCGAGTGGCGCGATGGTTAAGAACTCGCTTGGGATGCCAGAGGGCCCCGGTTCGGATCCCACATATGAGGGCCAGTGACACTGCCCTCTGCAGCTAAGATGCTGAACAACAGCTCAACCTGGAGCTGGGCTGCCGTGGGTTGCCGGCGACGGCGTGGGCTGCAGCCCCTGTGGCAGTGGGTTGCCATGGGCTACCGTGTGTAGCCAGCAGCCAGCGTGAGCGGCCAGCAGCCGCAGTGAGCGGCCGTCCAGAAGCCAGCGACTGGTCTGCCTCGCCCGGGAAGAGCGCAATGATGGTGCCAACTTGGGCCAGTGAAGCAACGTCCTCCACAACTAGACTGAAGAACAAAAAACGACAGCAACTTGTCTGTTCCCCTTCCCCCCAATTCCCCAGCACTGTTCCCATCCCCCCAATTCCCCAATAAAAATATTTAAAAAAAATAAAAATAAAAAAATAAAAAAAAATAAAATTCCTATTTTACTGATGAAAAATTTGAGGCTCAAACATGGTTTTTGTTTTGCTTAGGTCACAGCTGGTGAATAACAGAGCAAGGATTTGAATTGAAGTATGTCACTACAGAGTGCATTCCTGATCTACCCTGATTTCATTGCTCCTTATCAAGTAACTCACTATATTACCTTTTGATTTTACTGGGAGCCAAATTGTATTCTCACAGGTATATAAAAATTCGTAGAGCAACACTCTTACAAAACAATGGAACCTCTATGTAATTTCATGTTATTCTCATGTCTCCATATTTATAGGATGATAACATTCTCCAATGTTTGATTATGTGATGCTGTATGTGCAAATGATACTATATAGGATGAAGGATGACTCATATCTTAAGAGATTTTTTTGGCACTAGGTTGGCTTAGTTATTAAATAGTACCTTTGCTACCAGGTTGAAAAATGAATAGCAAGAAATTTGATTATTTCTGATTTGCAGTCTTTCTTTAGAATGTTTTTGTCTTTAGTGATTTCCAGGGGGAAAAAATCATGGTTTCCCTTAGCAGGTGTATTATTTTGCTAGGGTGCTGTAACAAAGTAACACAAATGGGGTAGCTTGAGCAACAGAAATTTATTGTCTCTTAGTTCTGGAGGCTAGAAGTACAAGATCAAGGTGTTGGCAAGGTTGGTTTCTTCTGAGGACTGTGAGGGAGAGAATCTATTCGAGGCCTGTCTCCTAGCTTGTCGTGGTTTGCTGGCAATCTTTGGTGTTCCTTGGCTTGCAGATGTATCACTCTGATCCCTGCTGTCATCTTCATGTGGTGTCCTCCCTGTGTATGTCTGTCTCTGTGTTCAAATTTCCCTGATTTATAAGGACACCAGTCATATTGGATTAGAGCCCATCCTAATGATGTCATTTTGATCATTTGCAAAGACCCTATTTCTAAATAAGGTCACATTCACAGGTACTGGGAGTTAGGATGTCAACATCTTTTGGGGGAACACAATTCCACCCATAACAGTAGGCAATTTTTCTAAGATAATAGATTTGAAAATTCTTTAGTAGTGGTTATATATATAAGTTTGCAGTTTATCAAATCATTGGTATAGTTATATGCACATATATCCATAACTGAGTCATGTCTGAATATTTGTTTTGGAATAGGACTGATTTTACACTAATATTCTTGTAAGAAATTGTAGGAAGAACAAACTGGAGAACTCTTCAGGAAGGCTTTCAATAAAAGATATGATTGGGTATCACAATGTATGAGGCATATAATGAGCTATTGGTATTGCATGTACAAGATTGGTATAGCTAGTGCTATGATGAAGTTGAGATACAGGTAGGCATTCAAGGCAAGAAGATGTTACAGAAGCAGAAAGGACATGGGTTTAGGTCCTGATGTAGGAATGAGTATTTTATGTATGAGGTATAGTGGGCTATGTTGGTAAAGGGAGGCTTTGGGGCCAATTATATGTTGTTAAGGAATCCTGGCTCTGGCCCTTTAGGGTTAATGCCAGTTTTAGCTAAGTTTCAAGGAATTGCTCTAGGATTTTTAATTTTATCAAGTACAAAATTTAAAATATATCAGTAACAAGAAGAAAAACATGATCTGTAAATCCACTACTTAGAGCTAGTCATTATTAATATTTTGGCATCTTGATGTAATTCCTATGCAATTCCTGCCATGCTTTTTCATTGAGATTATATCATTAACAGTTTTGTAAAACACATTAGAGTCTGTAGTATTCTCTAAATATGTATCTGAATTTGAGACCCTTTTGGTAACAGACCTAATATTCCTTAGCAGTGAATTTTGTCATCATAATTACATAAACCATTAGGTCTAGCCAGCTTTGTCTCATGTGATTTGGCCCTTTGCCTTCAGTCATGTTCTTCCTCCCATCTTTCCCACTGCTGTCAAGATCTTTTTAATGATCACGTCATTTTCCTGGCTTACCTCCTTTCATCAGGACAGAGGTCCAGCTTTTTAGTATAATAAGGCATTTCTGTGATCTTCCTCATGCCTTTTCCTTCTCGTCTGCTAATTTCCAAAAGTTTCTTGAAGTTCTCAGAATATCGTGTACCTTTTTACATCTTTGTAATTTTTTATTTCTTCCCTCCATCAAGAATGCCCTTTCTGTATTTGTCCCTCTGACCAGCTACTTATTTTTTAGTACTCATCTCACATGACATACCTCTCTAAAACCTTATTCTAAGTCAGTTTTCCCTTCCTTTTAGTATTGGTAGCATTTTCTACAAAACTTGTTATAAACTGATTATAGGGTGTTATAGTGGCTAATTTCCATCTCTATCTTTCTTACTAGACTGAGTTACTTAAGAGCAAGAATGATGTGTTATTTATACTAGTATCCATGGCACTTAATATGGTACCTAGGTGTTTAGGCAAAACGTTTGCTGAAGGAATAAGTACTCTTGTCTTTTCATCTAACACTGTACTGCCAGTAATGGTGGCTGTAGCTAGAATAAGTGATAATTTTTCAGGTAACAGGTGAGGGAGTAAAATGACTAGTTCAATTCAATTTATCTAATATTTATTAAGCATTTACAGTTAGTAAGGTGCTCAGCTGGGCCTTGTGGAAATGGGAAACCAAAATGAAGAGGAACTTTAGGAGTTTGCAGCCTAGTGGAGAACTCCCAGTTTTGGTGAGTTGGTGTGGGGTGATGGTAAGGAATGTAATAAAGAATTGTTAAAGAGAATGACCCATTGAAATTGATTGTGACTGGAAACATTTGTATAGTGTCTTAATATTAACAAAGTTTATTTGTTTACAGGTGGCAGTGGGCATGCATTACAGATTGTAGCAGATATCCTCAACACTTCTATTGAAACTTCCTTATCTCCACTTGTAAGAGGAACCCCAAGGCCTCATCCCTGTGGTAGCTGCCGCTGCCATGATCTGGTATGATGCCACGCTTTTCCACCTCATCCTTCCTGTTCTAGCAAAGGATGCCGGGTTACAATTTAGCTGTCTGTTATTGCAAACAACTATGTAGGACTGAAAGTGGAAGATTTCAATAATATCAATATTGTGATTTCTTTGAGATTGTGCACTATGCTTTGTTATTTTTATACTTGCTCACAGACACCCCAAATAGTGAGTGCCTTGCTCATCCTAAGTACTTAGCATTGTGATTTTGTTTGAATTGTGTCTAGTTGTTTACTGCTTCCTTTTTTTAAAAAGAGAATTTATAAACCTTTATTAATCCAAATTTAGGAAATGTGGGTCAAAGAAAAAGTATGGTAAACTGAAAATACATAAGAATAATCATAACAACAATAGTTGGCATTGTTATAGCACTTACTATGTATGTATTAAATACTGTTTAGCACTTTACATTTATTTATTCATTTGATGCTAACATCTCTGTGAGGTAGTGTTAGCACGCTCATTTTATTTTATTTATTTTTATTATTTATTTATTTATTTTTAAGATTTGTTTTTTATTGGGGAACAGTGTGTTTTTCTAGGACCCATCAGCTCCAAGTCAAGTGGTTGTTTTTAATCTAGTTGTGGAGGGTGCATCTCAGTGGCCCATGTGGGGATCGAACTGGCAACCATGGTGTTATGAGCACTGTGCTGTAACCAACTGAGCTAACCAATTGCCCTCATACCCTCGTTTTCTGAAGGAGGAAGTTAGGCAACAAAGAGATTGACCAAGGTCACACTAATAACTGGTGAAGCCAGGATTTGAAGGAGACAGTCTGACTCTAAAGTTCAAAATACATCCAAATATATAATTAATTACAATAAATGTTAATAGATTAAGCTAACCTATAAAAAGACATAGGTTATCAAATGGGATACAAAAACAAAGTTTAGTTATATAATGCTTGGCAAGGGGTAAGCCTAAAGCAAAATCACACAAAGGTTGAAAATTATAGGGATGGAAAAAAAATATACCCCGATTAGACAAAATAGAATTTCAGGAGGAAAAATATTACAGGATCAAAAGGCCCCCTGCACAATGTAAAAAAGAAACAGTTCACCAAGAAGAAATAATATTCACGAGCTTGTATGACTTAACAATATGATCTTTAAATACTATAGTATATAAATAAAAAACTGATGAAATTCTTTTCTTTTAAAGATTTTATTGGGGAACTGGGGGAGGGGAACAGACAAGTTGCTGTCCTTTTGTTCTTCAGTCTAGTTGTGGAGGACGTCGCTTCACTGGCCCATGTTGGTATTATCATTGCGCTCTTCCCTGGTGAGGCATTCGCTCGCCGGCCATTGGACGGTCACTCAAGGTGGCTCACGGCAGCTCATGAAAGTGCACGCCTGCTGCTGGCCAGCTCCACTGTAGCCTACGCTGTCGCCGGCGACTCACAGCAGCCCAGTTCCAGCTTGAGCTGCTGTTCACCATCTGAGCTGTAGAGGGCAGTGTCACTGGCCCTCATGTGAGATCTGAACCGGGGCCCTGCTACTCAGAGCTGGGGTCCCAAGCCAACTCTTAACCAACGCACCACTCGGCTGCCCCTCCCCCCCCTTTTTTAAAAAATTCTGATGATATTTGACATGTCCACAATTATGGTAGGAGATTTTCATATACTTTTATTTTTAAAACTGCTGATTTAAGCATAGAAGAAGTTAGTAAAAATGTTGAAGATATGAACAAGGTTAACAGGCTTGATCTATTTGATATATTTAAGTCTTCACCCAACAAATGGTGAATATACTCTTATTTTTAATTTTAGTATTTTTGAAATTTATTCAGTATTTACTAATTTCCTACTATATGTCAGGCACTGATCTAGATACATATTTATCTTGAACCTTACCACTTTACTCCACTAATTATTGGGTCATCAGGAAAGTCATGACGCATTTTTGCATTGAAAAACATAGAAAAATACGTCATGACTTTCCCGATGACCCAATAATTTTTTTCCCTTTTTTATTGCCCTTCACCTTCCCCTCCTTTTAAATTTTGCAATTACAGTTGACATTCAATATTATTTTATATTAATTTCAGGTATACAATATAGTGGTTAGATATTTATATAATTTAAGAAGTGATCCCCCTCTTTAATATGCGCCTAGCACTATACATAGTTATTAACATATTATTGACTATGTTCCCTATGCTTTACTTCATACTCCCATGACTTCTTTGTAACTACCAATTTGTACTTCTTAATCCCTTCACCCTTTTCACCCTGCCCCCAATGACCTCTTATCTATCACCCCAGTAAATCTAGTACCCATGGGACACCATACATAGTTATTACAATATTATTGACTACATTCCTTATGCTATACTCTGTATCCCCATGACTACTTTGTAACAACCAATTTGTACTTCTTAATCTCTTCCTCCTTTTCACCCACCCCCTTAACCCTTCTCTCCTCTGGCAACAATCAAAATGTTCTCTGTATCTATGATTTTGTTCCTGTTTTGTGTGTTTGTTTATTTGTTCTTTAGATTCCACATGTAAGCAAAATCACATTGCATCTGTCTTTCTCTGTCTGACACTCCACTCGGCACAATACCCTCTAGGTCCATCCATGCTGCTGCAGATGGCAAAAACCCACTCCCTTATATGGCCTAGCAATATTCCATTGTATATGAGTATATGTACCACCTCCTCTTTATCCATTAATCCATTGATGGACACCCAGGCTGCTTCCACATCTCGGCTATTGTAAATAATGCTGCAGTGAACATATGGACGCACACGCCCACTTGAAGTAGCATTTTGGGTTTCTTCAGATAAATATCCAGAAGTGGGATTACAGGTTCCTTCTTTGTCTCTTGTTATAGCCTTTGTTTTAAATTATATTTTGTCTGGTGTAAGTACTGCTACTCCAGCTTTTTTTTTCATTTCCATTTTCACGAAATAACTTCTTACATCCCTTTACTTTCAGTCTGTGTGTGTCTTTCAATCTGAAGTGAGTCTCTTGTAGGCAGCATATGTAAGGGTTTTCATATCCATTCAGCCACCCTTTGTTTTTTATTGGAGCATTTAATCTATTTACATTGAAAGTAATTGTTGACAGATATGTAGTTAGTGCCATTTTATTATTTATTACTTATTATTCATATATATTTTTTATCTTAAAGAAGTCAATCTAAGAGTCCTCATAATACTGGTTTGGTAATGATGAACTCTTTTAGCCTTTTCTTGTCTGGGAAGCTCTTTATCTGTCCTTTTATTTTATTTTATTTTATTTTTTTAAAGATTTTATTGGGAAATTGGGAAAGGGAAACATTGTATTTTTCCAGGACCTATCACCTCCAAATCAAGTTGTTGTCCTTCAGTCTTAGTTGTGGAGGGCACAAGCTCAGCTCTAAGTCCAGTCACTTCTTTCAATCTAGTTGCGGGGTGGGGATGGGGGGCGCATCTCCCCATCCCATGCAGAAGTAGAGCTGTCAATCTTGTTGTTAAGAGCACACGCTCTCACCAGCTGAGCTATCTGGCTGCCTGTTGGCAGCTCATTGGCAGCTCAGCTCGAGTGCAGCTCACTGGCCCATGTGGGAATCGAACCAGCGACCCTGTTGCTCAGAGCTCGTGCTCTAACCAACTGCGCCACCTGGCCGTCACCAAATGTACTTCAGTTTTAAATGATAGCCTTGCTAGGTAGAGTAATCTTGATTGTTGGTTCTTTTCATCATTTTGAATATTTCCTGCGAATTCCTTCTGGCCTGCAGTTTCTGTTGAGAAATCAACTGATAGTCTTATAGGAGTTCCCTTGTAGGTAACTGCTTTTCTTTTGCTGCTTTTAGGATTCTCTCTTTGTCTTTAACCTTTGCCATTTTAATTATAATGTGTTTTGGTGTGGGCCTGTTTGGGTTCATCTTGTTTGGGACTCTTTGAGCTTCTGGACTTGTATGTTTATTTCCTTTACCAGCTTAGGAAAGTTTTCCATTATTATTTCTTCAAATAGGTTCTCAATTTCTTGCTTTCCCTCTTCTCCTTCTGGTACCTCTATGATACAAACGTTATGTTTGATGTTGTCCCAGAGGTCTCTTAAACTATTCTAAATGTTTTGGATTCTTTTTTCTTTTTGCTGTTCCTATTGGGTGTTTTCTGCTACCTTGTCTTCTAAATTGCTGATTTGATCCTCTGCTTCATCTAGTCTGCTGGTGATTCCTTCTAGTGCATTCTTCATTACAGTTATGGTATTTTTCACTTCTAACTTGTTGTTTTTCATGGTTTCTATGTCCTTTTTTGTGCTTGTTATCTTTTTATTGAAGTTCTCACTAAGTTCCTTGAGCATCCTTATAACGATTGTTTTGAACTCTTGTCTGTGGTAGGTTGCTTGCCTCCACTTGGTTTTGTTCTTTTTCTGGGATTTTCTCCTGTTCTTTCATTTGGGACATATATTTTTGTTTCCTGATTTTGGCTGCCTCTCTGTGTTTGTTTTAGGCTGCCTCTCTGTGTTTGTTTCTGTGTATTAGGTGGATCTACTATGTCTTCCAGTCTTGACCAGGTGGCCTTATATAGAAGGTGTTCTGTGGGGCCCAGTGGCATAGTCTCCCTGGTCACTTGAGCCATGTGCTTCAGGAGTGTCCCTTGTGTGGGTTGTGTGTACAGTCCTGCTGTATTTGAAACTTGATTGTTATTGACACATCAGTAGGTGGGATTGACCCTTAGGCTGACTGGCTATGGGGTTTGGTCACATAGCTTATGGGGTGCTGTGTAGGGGACTTACCCCATGGAGCAAGGCTTGCCCAAGCAGGCTCTGTTGCTTGTTGAGACCTCCTTTTGGGTGTGCCACTTGTGGGGCTAAGTGCTGTGGTCTGAAGCCAATCTCCAAATATGTTGGTTCTGGGTCCTCTTGGGAGGGACCCCAGTGCAGCCCAGGTCAGCTCCTGCCTGTGACTGGCCGGGGAGTACCTGTTAGGAGCTACAAAGCAAACCATGGTTGGTTGTTGCCTATGTTGTACCTGGAGGTACGTGGGAGTGGACAAGCTATGAACCAAGGATGGCTGCCACCAGTTCTGAGTCTGGGTAGTTCCGAAAAAAGCCGGGACACAGGCCTGCTGCCAGGTGCTGACTCAGCACCTGATAAAGCCTCCTACAGTATGGAGTTGGGTGTGGCAGTGTCTCAGTGAGTCAGCAGGGTGGAACGAGAGGAACTAACCAGACCAACTGAGATTCAGATTTGGCCATGGGCATGGGGCAAGGGCTCAACACAGGAAAGATAGCGCCTGCCTGCTGGCTGCATGGGAAGAGAACCCAACACAGGGAAAATGGCAACTGTCTCTCCAGCTTTTGCCCCGAAGTTACACAACTCAGTCTCTCCATATATGTCTCCAATGCCCTCAGAGTCACTGTCCCTCCACCAGAGCCCAGTTTGAGTGCCTGCATGTGCTCTTTAAGAAGACACCTGGGTTTCTTGCAGCCTTCCAACCCACCCAGATGGCCAGAATCACCATTTTTCACAACCAAATATTGTGGGGGCTCCTCTTTCTGGCACCAGTACTCTGGGCTGGGGACCCTGGTGTGGGGCTGGGGTTCCTCACTTCTCAGGGGCAACCTCTGTGGCTGAGATAACCTTCCCGATTTTCAACTGCCACATGGAGGTTTGGGGCCTGCCCATTTCATGTCTCTACCCCTCCTACCAATCTTGAGTTGGCTACTTCTTTATATCCTTAGTTATAAAACTGCTGTTCAGCTAGACTTCAGATGCTTCTTGTTGATTGTTCTATAATTTGGTTGTAATTTTGATGTGTTCTCAGGATGAGGCAAACACAGCGTTACTCTTTTCCACCATCTTGGATCTCATCTTTCCTCTTTACTGTTTCTTATTGACTTTTAACAGATATAAATGTAATGTCTTATTACCTTAAATAATAAACACATAACATTAATTTTACTTACACTTAAAAACTATGTCTTCAAGTAATGTTTAACCAGCTTCTCAATTCTTATGGAGATTCAACTGGCAGCTGATAAAATTCCATATCAGGATTATTTAATTACAAAACCTTTGTCTGTATTAACTTGAATGAGTACTGTAGCAATGAAAATATTTTTCTTTATAAAAAGTAGTATTTTTCAGAATTCTGGAAAATGTCAGTGTAATTTTGCCTGTAGTCATACTACATGTAATGCTATTGAGAATATTGCTAGCATTAACAAAAATATTTTGTAATTTCCTCAGTTATTGCTACTGGTGATGAGGGATGTAAAGTTGGCATGCTTTCATGTTTTGAGCATTTTCATTATACACCTCTGATTTTACATGTCAGAAGCAATATTTGTGTTAGTTAAGATAGCTGAGAACATTTTTTGCTTAGGGATAGAGGTCAGGCTCTGATTATTCATATTTTTAGGTTAGTGTATATAGAATACAATGAATGTATCTGAGTAAATACATGTACCATTTTGTATGTGAGTATTATACAATATTTATATATTTCTGTAATGTTATTTTTAGTTCATCAGAACATAGAGGTTTGGGACCAAGGCATAGGTTTTAGTTCTACATTGATTATTTAACTTAGTTGTTTTCTGTAACCACTGGTAACATTCATCTTGCAGATATAAGCTATGGTTCACCAGGGAACTTTGGCAAGAGAATTGGCTAGATCAGCAATTCCGTCTCCACCATGGGAAAACAACTTGAAGCTCATCTCGGTTATGGTGAGTCAGTGTCATCTTCATACAAGAAAGATCTTGCTAGTATTATTTTATGTTTTCAGTGTTATTAAACAACAGTTTGGTTAAAACTTTGTTTTATGAGACGTTATTGGGATGTTGAACCATAATGCTTCATTACTTCAGTCTAAAAGATTACACAGAAATCAACTTAACAATGAAAAGGAATGGAAGTAATACTTTTGTGTTTATGAATATACTTAAAAGTAGTTTGATTAGCTTCTCTTTCACCTCCATTCTTATTTCCATATAACACATGCTAGCTAACTTATAGTTCATGACTTTCATTTGAATGAATTTTGGGTAAAACAGAATCTCATGTTCTATACTTTAAAATATATTGCTAATTTCAGGAAGTTTCAGGGTAACTGCAGTGTCAGTGTAAAGATTCTCTTCCATTTTCAGATAGATTATTTGGTCTTTCAACTGGTAGCCATTGTTAATGCTTGCTATCCCAGAGATCTAGTGGATGACAATATACGTTTAATATTGTAAGAGTTAATAGTATATCTACTTAGCAATCTGTAGCTCCCGTCAATATCATTTAATGCGTATTTAATCATAACTTCATTTTACTGTACTAGTGACGTTTGTAACTTGACCCAATGTTACCTAACCTTGAAGTATGTGCATATGTGAATATGTATGTATATGTGTGTGTGTTTGTATATATGTATATACATATATATGTAAGTATATATATATATGTATATATATGCAAGTATATATAAATAATCATACGGTTAGTAATGTTGCTTTGGTCCTTGTTAGTCTAGTTGTTTTCACTTGAGTCATCTCCATTTTCAGGTTGTCAAAGTAAATTTTCTTTTACAGTGTTGCTTTGCTAGTATTCTGCCTTTTTTGTTGCTCTCATTGTTATTATGTTTTTATTTTTCTCCTTTCAGAGCATAAACAAAGCCCAAGGTTTCAGACTGGTAGGACTGACTTTCACTGAAGTCAAATGAAAGGCCCAACTGTAAGGAGAGGATCAGTATACTATAGGAGGTATATGACATTGCATGATTATAACGATCTGTACTATATGTTTTTGTAAGAAGCCATGAAATAAAAAAAGGAATAGCATGGCTCTATATTTAGAGAAAGGGTTTTGTTGTAAAATTTTCTTTTCTTCAAAAAGGCCCTGAGTATTTCTATAGTAAGATTGGACTCTCTTCCCATGTTCTATAAGTAATTATTAAGTGTAATGATGATTTTTTTCAAAAATTTTTTCCTTGAATATATTATTTTTAGATGATTTGTCTCAGTGTTATTATTATGATTATTATGATGGTTATTATTATTTTCACATTAGGCCTACCTCAGACATTTTCAATTGGATCAGACTTTGGAAATTTCTTTAATACTATAATGCAAATCTAACAGAATTATTTAGTGTATAAACTTGAATTTATTATAACTAGAATAATTGCTCTTGTAGTTAAAATGACAAAATATTATTTATTGAATAATATTTGCTCAGCTGTATGCTAAGTGCTTTCTATATCTCATTATATCTTCACAACAGTTATATGGGGTAGGAATAATTATCCCAGGTTTATAGATAAGGAAACTAAGACTCAAAGAGTTTAATGATCTGCATAATGTTAGTGGCAAACTCAGGCTTCCAACTCTGGACTATCTGACCTCAGAGCTTCTGCTCAAACCTCCTATTTAGAAATTCTGTGTTAAGCTGCATGAAGCTTTTATGTGTGAGCTGCTTCGGTTTTTTTTGTGGTGTGTTCTATTCTATTTTTTTTT